ATGAGCTTAACTGGTATCCATATTTGTCATTTACTGGGAAAAAATTAAATTCGACAACCAGTTAAAGGGTCAGCCCACCAAGAACTTTAAATCAGGATCCTCTGATGGCACTGTACAATTTCTGCTTAGGGCTGTCTGAACTCGTATGTTTCCTGCTACTGTTAATATGGCTTCAGAGTAGAAAATTATTCCTTTCACCTCCATTGCCAAGATACCAGTGCTGGAATGCTTACACAGGGCTGTAAGATTTCCATACACGTGATCCTGGTACAGTGGGCCCATATGGTCACTATTAGTAACCACCTGGCCTTTGGAGTAGAGATCCTTTTTCTACATCTGAATTCAATAGAATAATATTCTCGGGTACAGTTCCTTGTGCTATTAAAATATTGATCTATGTTGCGGCTGTGAACAAAGATCATGCAATTGTGTGAGCTCTTAGTTCTGTGACTGTTGTCACTGACGGCCACAATTCTCAGACTAACAATCGGGAATCAATCAGCATGATTCCTGATCATGTTACCACCATGACAGCCATGCAATGGAGTGGAAAACCCAATACTCTCAGGTGGTGGAAAACAGAGCCATGAACTATGCCAGGGATATGTCATTCTTTCGGGAGTCCCCAAAAGATTTAAGGAGCCAGTGGCTGACTCCACCATGCTGCCCCACAAGACTGCACCTATAACTGAACCATGCAGAGCTTGACAGAACCACATAGGCAGCATATATATAAAATGTTGTTATGACACTGCCATATTAGGCCACGGTTATGCCCATGCAGAGTTAGGAACAATGTACTATTAAAGAACCATTAGGGCCAAAACTTTGTTGACCCCTGACCATCAAACTTACATTCTATGGGCAAAAGTATGTGAACACCCCTACAAATTATTAAGTTTAGGTATTTCCAGTGAAGGGTACATTTTAGACATGCTCTTTCAACAGTTTGGAGACGGTCCTTTTCTTTTCCTGCCTCTGTTTAGATCAGCTCTATAAAGACATGTTTATTGAGTTTGGTGTGGAGAAACTTGAGTGGCATGCAAACAGCCCGATTTAAACCCTAATAGAACCCCCAGCAAAAATGTGGAACACGGATTATGAGTCAGGTGTTCTCATCCAACAGCAGTACATGACATCACAAATTCTAGCTGAATGGGTACAAATTCCCAAAGATACCCTCCAGAATCTTGTGGAAAGCCTTCCCAGCAGAGTAAAGGTCAATAGAGCTGCAAAGGGGGTGGGAGGACGAATTTAAATAAAAGATTCCTATTTAACCCTGTGCACAGTTATATTAATGTCCATGGTTTAAAATTGGATATCCAAGGAGCTTGTAAAGGTATGGTGGTCAGGTGTCCACAATCCTTTGGCCATATAGTATGGGAAATTGCATTCTTCCCTTAGTTGAAAAGGGAGCTCATTAAATTGCAGTTTTTTTCTTTCACACATGTAACAGTAAGCCACATTCTCTTCTCTCTGCACCACTATGGGAGAGCCTGACAGCACCAAAAAACTGTCATAAATCTGAAATGTTGCTACTTAACTGCCTTAGTAGGGTTATGTTCATGTCAATGCAGCGTCAGGAGCCATGTATGTCAAAAGCCCAGGTGGCAAGACCAAGCCCCAAGAAGCCTGCTAAAAATAATTGTGTCTTGTGTTGCACTAATGATGCTCCATGATGTACCTGGCTAAGCCACAAACTCGGGGGGGATTTTCTTTTTTTTTTTTTGTTTGTGTGTGGTTAACATAGCTTTTAAACAAATCTAAACCCATGGAGTAAGCTTGAAGTTTAAGTGATACGCTTTATTGACTAATTAAAGATGCAAGCTTTTGGGATACACGAGATCCATAATTCAAGCTTTATACATTTGATGTTTAGAGCCTGAAGAAGAGCTTTAAGGCACCCCAAACTCTTGCATCTTTTTTTAACTTAAGTTAGATAATAAAGGGTATCACTTAAACTCTAAACTTTCGGCAATAATTGAGGGCTAATGAGGTACAGTACTCTACTACTGCATCAAAGCATATGGCAAATACAAGTGTTTTTTTTGCTTGCTTTTTAACCATGGATCTCATGTATCAATGTGCTTTTACTAAGGACCGGAGTTACATCTTTTCAGCCACTAATCAGCATCACATCTGCCCTGATGGTTTGAATCTCATTGGAGGGTAGTGGGAATAGCTCCAGTTTTCAGTAACAACATGCTGATCCATAAGACCTCATGTGTCTACCTTTCTGTTCTTTTTAGGTATCCACCTAATTTTGATAAAATTTCATACCTCGGCTTCTGAAAGCCACCCATAAGTTTTTCTTTTTTTTTTTTTTTTTTGCAGAGAGTGGATTTGGTAATGAGCTTTCATAGAAGTGCAAAACCACTGCTGGCTTAGTGGCTAGCACATCTGCCTTGCAGTACTGAGGTCCTCAGTGCAAGTCCTAGCCAGGACATTGACTGCATGAAGATTATCTATTCTCCCTGTGCTTGTGTAGGTTCTGAAGTAACACTTTTATCGGAAAGTTAACAAGGTCTGGTAGCCATCCTAGGTGATTCCTTGAGCTGGGGCCCGATTGCCGTGGCTTTAACTCCAGTACTATGCTGTTGTCTTTACCATTGAACATTACTGTCACACTTGGGGCTCATTTACACCATATGCAATGGGATGCGCTGAGTAGTCTTGCCCAAAGCAGTCCCAATGCATAGACAAGGCTATTTGCCTTATGTCTTATTAGTTTAGTTCAGTTGGGCGGCATCCAACAGCAGCCTCAGGGCTTTTGGATGTCTGCTGAAGGGATGCTCCTACAGTTAAAAAACATTACTAAAATATGTAATATACACATATAATCTTATGGAAAGATTTTTTTAAATAAGCGCTGTGGTGACAGGGTCTCATTAAATAGACACATGGTGCACTTTAAACATTTTGATGAGAAAATGGTGGCCCTGGTCTGCCCCGTCTTACCTCCCATGATTTACTTTTGGCCAATCTCAGTGATGGACTATTTGCTTCTTTGTTTTTTTTAGTTGTGGTCACACCATTACTGTCCTTGTGGCACAGATTGTCTGTTATGTTGCCTACACTTGACAATATCTATAGTATTTGCAACCCATTAAAACCAATTATGAAAAATGGTCAAAGGGATTAAGGTGACCTACCACGAAGAATTTTTATTATTCCATGGTAGGAAATGTGGATGGTTGGTTTCCTTTATCTGTGTCAGTAGTCTTTGGTTGGGAGTGGTTGAAATTGCCCAAGCGATGGCAAATTTATGTCCAGTATGGGAAACTAATAAAGTGTTCTCAGTAAGTACACATTTTGATTTTTATATTGTATGATGTATCTGAAATATACTATTACTATTTGCTGTTACCATCACCATTTTAATGCTTGCTGTTCCATAATAAATGTATGGATTCCATATACAGATCTGAAAAATGCTGCTTCTAATGGTCATATGTATGTTGGGGATTGTGACATGCATTCCTCATTATAAATTGTTAACTAGCAGAGCTTTAAAAAGTTCTCACTGATGTCTGTAGCTGCAGATGCTGTGGGGTAATTCATCTTCAAACATCACAAATGAGAATCTGAAGTCTAAGGACCTATTTACATGGGTCGTGTCTGTTCTGATTAGTAGGGTATCGGGGAACAGATCCCCTGCTGAAGCACAGCAGAACAGTACAGATTTATCTTTTGTGACATCCGTGTCTATTCAGTTTTGCCTTCCCAGGGCATAACTGACCCATGCTAGGTCTGTGGTCAGGTGTATCTAGCTGAACATGCATTACATTTATTTACCTTCAATCCGTCATATTTATGTCTGGAAAATCAGAGGGGTGCAGATATATTAAATGTTTTAATTTTTTGGACCTGGATGGATTTAGAGTTATTTGGATGTAAGCAAATGCATGTCCATTTACATCCATCCCTTAGATTGTACACCCCTTGAGGGTTAGGGACTGATGTGAATGTACAATATATATGTAAAGCGCTGCATAAATTGATGGCACTATATAAGTACCTGAAATAAATAAATAGATCTGCCCATAGACTAACATGGAGCTAAAAAACTGATAGGTGGATCTGATGGAACCGACCATGTGAAAGGGTCCTAACAACTTACCGCACATACTGTTTGTTTACATTAGAGGGTTGACAGAATGACAAGATTCTGAGGCGATAAAAAGTAATAGCCGTGATTTCAGTGCCTATTGGGAACTTTGAACATGAATTTCTCCACACTGACTGTAGCTACAGAGGCAAATGAGGTTTTAAAATATTCATTGCTTCTTCTGTACATACTTTAAGTTGCATAGTTTGGGAGTTCATTTTAAGAATTGAAATGTTCAGCTGGTTACACATCAGTTTTGGGTGGGCTGACCCTTTAATTGTATAATTATGTACCCTTAGAGTAAGATGCAAAACCGGAGGTTCACAAATGTGAAGGACTGTTCTTGCCATAACGTGTCTAAACCTAAGATAAAATGTAATGTACTGTAGCTTTCCAGTTCTTAGACATGGGGACTCTTCCTGTCCCTGGGTGGCTGCTCCCACATCTCCACTGTACCTGTGAAGGGAGCCATTGTTACCACCCAGGCTGGACTATAAATATGTTTGCCTTTTTTCAAGCAAAGTCCTTTTTATGAAAGTACAGAATTTTGATCCTGCCAGAATTCCAGTGTCTGTGCACTGAAATGATATCTGCAATAATGTTATCAGTTTTACCAGCTGTCTCATGTGAACTATAAAACATCTCGTCCTTATGTGATGAAGATGAGGGCATGTGATGGTTTTTGTAGTCCAAATTGGGAGTGCAGCCTAGGGTGCTCCCCCTATGTTGGGGAAGTGTGTTACTGGCAGGATCAGCAGGGATAATAAAGAAATCTGTGAACTAAAATGTATTTTAGTTTTTGGGTTTAGCTATGCTTAGATAGCATCTTAAGAATATCTTTTTTATATTGCCTATATAACTTTTTAACCAGTGTACCTATCTGATTTTCCAGAGGGATGCCCGGGTCTGTGCAATGGCAATGGAGCATGCACGCTGGACCTTAACGGCTGGAACTGCGTCTGCCGGCTAGGATGGAGAGGAGCAGGGTGCGACACGTCCATGGAGACGTCCTGCGGTGATGGGAAGGACAACGACGCCGGTAAGTAGTGCTTTTTTTTTTTTTCCCTCCTCGTTACAGCGGAATCATTGCCATCACCATAATTATATGAAGTGCTTGTCACTCACGCATTTCCCATGATGGGGTAATTGCAGGATGCATTGGGACAGCGCGGCTATTATTTTCGTAAATATCTGTAAATGAGCGATACGTACAGGTAATGTTTGTCATTTGCTTCCCCTGTAATTATCGTCAAAGTCTTTTCGCTCCAATCCCAGGGTCATCTCAGTGTTTTATCAAGCGAGGGAAAATAAGCTGGTGATGGCACAGAAGCTGCCAGAATCTGAGGTTTTTGTTTATAGAAAAAAAAATCTGATGTGCGCAGATATACATGCTCCTCAAATAGAAAAAAAACATTGAAATGAGTTGGACATTCAAAAATGTTAAAGAGCCAGTCCACCCACAAGTGCTATTTTGGGTTATATGAGGTATCTGGTGGGTGGATCAAACGCTGGCTGCTTAAATCTCTTGTGTTGGCCATACATGTGGCAATTTTAGGGTCATTTCACTCATTTTTAATCCACTAAGAATTTCAAATGCGAATAAAAGTATTCACTAAAATGGAGCAAATTAGACTTGTATCAATCGTAAGCATTACAACTTTTTTAATTTTTTTTTTTTTTTTTTGATCAGAAGTGATGTATACGTGCAGAAAAAAAAACAATTTGAAAGACCATACCATTTTTTAATATAGACCAGGGAGTCTGCAGACTTTCTAAACAAAGGCCCAGTTTACTGTCCTTCAGACTGAAGGGGGGCAGGACTGTGGCCATTAGGAGTAGAAAAGGTCTCAAAACCGGGGGGAATAAACAGTGCCCCACCTTTGGTGTCAATGAGAGTAATAATGCCCCATCATTGGTATATTTTTTTGGTATAAATGGGAAGAATTGCGCCCCATCATTGGTGTCATTGGGGGCCCCATTTTTGGTATCATTGGGAGGAACTGTGCCCCATATTTTGTCACTGGGAAGAATTGCACCCCATTGTGGTATCAGTGGATGAAAATAGTACCCCAAGGGTCAGATAAAAGTGAGCAAAGGGCCGCAGTTTGGAAACCACTGATATAGACTATGCAAATACCTCAACCCCAAGCTTTCAAGAGGCACCAGTGATGCCACCATATCTCCCATCAAAGGTGGGAACACTAAATCCCACTAGAATGCACTCTTGTTATAGGCTGGAGTACATTCTTGTGGGATTTAGTGCTCCCAACTCTGCTCTGAGGTCATCGAATGTGGGAGGCCAAGGCCAAGGTAGGTGTGATTTTGTTTATTTGGGGGGGGTTTGACTATTTAGGAGATGTAGTACACGATCTCCTCTGTAGCTTCACCACCTGCTCTACTACAAACATTTGGTGCAGTTGATGTAGCCCTAATTTATTACTAATTAATCACCACCACTTATATAGTGTTGTATGTGTTTTAGCTGGCAGCTCATAGAAAGAGTGCCTCCCACTTCTAACTGGAAGAAAGGGCCCAGTCTGGGAAGCCTCCACCTTGTAAATCACTTCCTTGCATAGTTGGAGTGTTGAAAGAACTCAAAAGGATCTTTATCAAACATCTCATCCATGTTACCTGCAAGCCCAGCAATACACTAAGTCTCCCCTGACTAAGGGTGACTAAGGGTGGAGGTCTTTGACCCCCATCTGTCTTCCACCTATCATATATAGCATCCCTGTGTCCTGCAAGCCCAGCAATACACTGAGACAGACGTTTGTATGTCCAAAAGACCCAACACCATTAACACAAGCAAATAACTTGCAGTGCATGCAGTACAGTGTAAAAGGAACCCAGAGCTATACATTGAAGAGATAACGAAACCTTTCAAAAAAAAAAAAGCAATCCAACGAAGGACAGTAAATTCTACAGGTCAAGACTCATCAGTCTTCCTACACCCAAAGAAAAAGGCAATATTTCAAGGGGAGTGAGGTACACATTTTAATTGGTTTCATATCAATTGGTTTGCAAGAGGCATGTAAGCAGCCGTCAACATCAAACTGAAAATCCCCAACTAAGTGTGTCTGTCTTCCACATATCAAAAATCACATCCCTGTGTCATGCAAGCCCAGCAGTACACGGAGACAAAAGTCTGTATGTCCAAAAGTCCCAACACCAAACATAAGAATGTGCAGTGTAGTCAGGAACCAAAACCTTTATATTAGAGAAATAAAGCAACCTTTCAAAAGAGAAAATGAATGACCCAACATAGGAGGGCAGCTTCTACAGGTCAAGACTCCGCAGTCTTCCTACACTTAAAGCGGACCTTCACCCTCTATATGAACTTCGCCCCTCTCTATCTCCTCTCCCATCCTCCTCACGAATTGGGCTTTTTTTTTTTCTTTTACTTTTTACAGCATTCCCCCCCCCCCCAGCCCCCTTTAATCCTTAACTGAGCCCTCTCTAATCCAGCGACGTTCTTGACAGCGTCTGCTGTTTGGGTACTCTTCCTGCTCATTGGCTCAGACAGCAACGGGAGCCCGTTGTCAGTCACTGCCAGTGAGCCAATGAGGAGAGAGCGGGGTGCGGGGCCGAGTCGCGGCTTTATGTGTCTTATGGATGGAAAGAGAAGTGGCTCTGGGACAAGCTGGTAGCGGAGCCCCCAGGGCAAGCAGCTTTCATTGGGGGCACTGCTTGACACGGAGGAGCCAGGAGCGCCGTCGGAGTTCTGACAAGAGGATCGGGGCTGCTCTGTGCAAAACCATTGCACAGAGCAGGTGAGTATAGATATGTTTGTTATTTTGGGGGAAAAAAATAAAGTTTTAGTGTCACTTCAAAGTCAAAGTCTCAGCGAATTTAAAAAGGTTCCTGCACTACTTTGATGTGAATTTCATGCAACGTGAGTGCCATAGACTGCAGCGTAAACTCTCAAAAGTCGCATGTTAAATTAATCAATGCAACAGTTGTGCAACAGTCAAAGCCAAAGTCAACAACCAAAGTCACATTCAAGTCTCACCCACCCAAAGTTGCAATGGAAATCACACAACTGTGGAGCCGCATAAGTTTGAATGAAGCCTTAAAATGCATGATTTATACACGCTTCCATATTGCACAGCAATGCTACCTCTATGCTGCAAAGGACATAAAGAGCTTTTTTTTTTTTTTTTTTTTCTCCTTCTGTTAATTGGGGGACAGTCCATGTCATACTACCCACAGTGACAAAATCAATTTACTGGTCACTTGCCATAGCGAGAGTCAAGCTCTGACAAGCTGAAAGAATTCTACTGTTTTTTTTTTTCCCCTCTGGAAACAGGATCCATTCTCCAGTCTTCATAATCCAATTATTTTCAATTTTATGCCATATATTTCAAAAGCACTTTTTTTTTTTTTTTTGGTGCTAAGGTGCGAAGGTGTTCTGCACAGGATGGAGTGTAAAAATCACATCATATAATTAGAACTACATTTCCTGACACAGATGAGATTTTTATATTACCGCCCCCCCCACCCCACACCTCCGTTTTCATCATCACTTTTTGATAAATGAATTGCAAAATAATATTATTATTATACAGGATTTATATAGCGTCAACAGTTTGCTCAGCACTTTACAATATAACGGGAGACAACACAGTTCAATACAAGAGGGTTAGGAGGGCCCTGCTCCTTGGAGCTTACCATCTAATAAAAATAATAAAAAGATTATCTAAAAACAGATCTTTTTTTTTTTTTTTCAGTGCAGATTGCATACTTACCTGCAGACCAGTTTTATGCTCAACCTGGCTCTTGTTTATAGCATATAGCGAACTATAAGAGCTTGTTCACACATGCAGCTATTAATTTGGCAGACCACTTTTCAGATGGAGTTTGATAGACCAATATATTGCCTCCTTGTCATCTGTTTTAACTCTCAAAATTCCGACTCACCTCCTTGCACTCTCCATGTATTGCACACAGTTGCAGCGTGGTTGCAATGTGACCCTAAATTTCTTCGTTGCCACTATCTCTGAGCATGCTCCAGTCTTCCCCGGGAAGCAAGCCATGCACTTCCACTTTCTGTCCCAGCTAGTCGCTCAACACTCTTCATTGGGTTTCGGGGCAGCTCTGGCAATGTGATTGACAGGGGCTCCTCCAGAGAAGCTCACTGCCAGAGCAAAGCTGAAACTAAGCCGCTTCAATGGGCTTTATTCATTATATGACAAAAGCACCAATCAACTCTGTGCAGCTCCAAGAAAAGGAGGGTCGAGGAAAGTGGAAAGAAATCACTGGACCCATAGGCAGAGCTTTTTTTCATCGGGAACGTGCAGGAACGCAGCTCCAGCACTTCCAGAGCTGAATGTATGTAATGGCAAGGTGTGTGGGGTGTGCTGGAGGATCTATTGATGCTGGCTGCTGTGGGATAAATTGTCATTGGTGGGGATCTGTTTTTCTGTGGGGTCTATTGTTGAGGGGGGGGTCTTATTTTGCTTGTAGGCATCTACTGTTGAGGGAGAGGTTGCTGGCTGCTGGGAGATTTTTTATTGCTGCTGGGGTGTCTAATGATGCTGGGGTAGATCTTTTGTTGCTGGGGGTGAAGTTTTGTTGTGGGTGGTCCATTGTAGTTGGTGTGGGGGATCTATTGCTGCTGATGCGGGTATCTACTATTGCTTCAGGGGATCTATTGTGGCTGGAGTTGGGTTTATTGTTGCTGTGGGAGTCTATTGTTTGGGAGATCTATTGTTGCTAGGGTGGTGTCCATTGTTGCTGGGGTGGAGGTCTATTGTTGCTAGGGTGGGATCTATTTTACTTTTTTTCTTGTCATCATTAACAAATTCCATAGAAATTATTTTACATCACAAAATGATACTCGGTTCTGCATTCTCTAAAGTGGCAGGACTGGGTGGTGGGTAGGGGTGGAACCAAGTGATGGTGCTCAGAGGAGGGTGTGGGTGTAGACCAGGGGGACTCATAAAGGAGGAGTTCCTGCACCTATTCTCTGAGAAAAAAAAGCCCTGCCCATAGGTTTATCTTACTGTTATTGTTAACTTAAAGTGCACTTCCAGGGGCAGC